CCCCCCCTGGGCCGGGGATCAACGACAGAGGGCCGTGTGCAGGACAGGAGGCCTGGCCCGTCGCCGGCCTGAAGGACTTGAAGATGCATCTGGGGCCCCGGTGCCGGGCCTGTGAAAGGCCCCAAGGCCCCCCCAGTTCGGGCTTCCCCCTCCTGGGGGGGAGTTAATCCCTGGGCTGGCTCGGGGTCCTGGGCCAAGGCAATTCACGATCGGCCGACACGGGCCTGTAGAGGCACTTGGCCCTGGGGACGCACACGCACCCCCCAGCCCCCCCCAAACTAGGGGATGCGGGCTCTCCCGGGCCGTCCGCCACCCGGGCGATTCTTCAGGCGATCTCGCGGGCTATGGTGAAGCCCCAGCATCATGGAACTCCACCTTCCTCTGATCCTCCCCCCCCCCTCCCCTCTCTTTGCTTCCATCCCCCTCGCTCTTTCTGCGCCCCGTATCGCTTTTCTCCAATCCATCACCCCCACAGCCTTCGCCATGGTAAGCGCCGGTCTCCCGATGCCTTCCTCTGTCCCGCCTTCCGCCAGCCAGTCGCCCCCTTATTGACCGTGTACTGTCGCCCCTGCGCCCGCGCCCAGTCAACACCCTTTGACGTTGAGGCCAACTTGGCCCCGGCGGCCGCCCCTCAGCAGGAGGCGCCTGCCGAGAAGAAGAGCAACTCGCCGGCCATCATCCGCAACTCGAGGTACGGCTCGCATTCCCCGGCTTGCCGGCTTTCATGAGGCCTTTCACATCATCTGACCAGCTCCTCTCCTCCCGCGGTTCCTGCACGGCTTCCGGGCCGGATGTAGCCATCCGATTGCCGTGATCTTTCACCTGCTCTTCCGTGTGCTTTCCATCCTGAGTTACCTGTTGTGCACCTTCATCACGAAGAACTTCGTTCTGTCCTTCGTGTTGACGGTCATCCTGCTGGCCTGCGACTTCTGGACGGTCAAAAACATCACCGGTCGCTTGTTGGTCGGTCTGCGTTGGTGGAATGAGGTCCGCGAGGATGGCTCCACCGAGTGGATCTTCGAGTCGCGCGATGTGCGTTCTCTTTTTTGCTCTTCCCTTTGGTCCTGTAGTTCTCTCTGTCTCCCTCTGTCTCCCTCTGTCTGTCTATCTCTCTCTCTCTCTCTCTCCTGCCCTCTCAGAGCTATCCTGGCTTACTTCTATTAACATGCTTGCCCCCTTCCTGCAGCCCGCTACCTCTGGCCCGCCCAACAAGTCGGACTCCATCGTCTTTTGGTATGCGCTGTACCTGACGCCGGCGGTCTGGCTGCTACTGGCGATTGCCTGTATCTTCCAGTTCTCCTTCTCCTGGTTGGCAGTTGTCGCCGTGGCACTTGCCCTGTCCATGGCCAATGTCATTGGATACATCAAGTGTGCTCGGGTGGCTAAGGCTCGGGCCAAGGCCGCTGGGTCTGGGTCGGTTGTGAGCGACCCTCTGGATCAGGCCACCCAGATGGCCACCGACAGCATGGGCCGCATGATTGCCGACAACCTCTGGCAGCAGATGAAGTCCAGCGCTCAGACTCCGGGCCAGTGAAAATGGTGCGTCAATGTCATAATGTGTGTGTGTGTGGGGGGGGGGGGGGGAGGTTTGGAAGTACCCCAACCGGCTTCTTCACGCTCGCTGTGCCTTCCTCTTACTGATTGTCCATCTCCCCTGCTACTCTTCCCCCCTGTGCTCCTTTCTCTTTCTCTCTCTCTCCCTCTCTGTCGGTCTCTTGTCGTTCGTGGACCATGGATTCAATTTTGGCATCTCCACCGCATGTAGCCACTCTCCACTGGCTCCCTCTCCCCTGCGCCCCTCCCCCCCCCCCAAATATCCACTAAACCGAAACAAATTATTCCTCCACCCTCTTCCCTGGCCAGGCACAGCGTCGCGGGCCTAAATAGTTTGAGTTCTCTCTCTCTCTCTCTCTCTCTGATAGAGCAAGGACATGGTGGTGTATTCTCGTGTGTGTGTGTGTGTCTGTTATTCTGTCCGTCTTTCTGTTCTTCTGCCTGTCTGCATGTGTCGAATATTGGTACAATTCACGGGAATCATGGGCACATCCCGCCGGCCCTGCCGGAGCATAGGAGTGCACCCGTGTGAAGAACGTGCTCGTGCACGCACATGTATCTGCGTATGTGTATGCATATGGGGGGGGGG